CATCTCTCCGGTAAGGAGACGGACCGTCACACGTCGTCGGAAGGAGAAATGTCCGTACTGTGATTCTACATTGACGGGATTCTCGAATCTCGTCAGTCACTGTCGGTCATTTCATCCGGAACGCCCTCCACCGCTTCCCGAGCTCAAATGCGATTTCTGTGACATGGTTTTCCCCACACGGAGAAGCACCGCACAGCACAGAAGTCGCTGCGCACACAACCCAGACGCCACTCGACACCTAAACAGCAGTGCCAGGAGGCGATCTCTGCTACCGCAGGATCAGCCAGCTTCCACAAGCACGCCAATTGGCCCGCAGGAAACCTTGCACCATCTGCTTCTAGAATGTCCAGGCACCTTGGCTGTGCGCCAACGGCTGGGCATTGAACAAGACCTTCGCCTCGGAAAGTTCTCTCAATGGCAGTTGCTTCACAGCAGGAAACTTTTGTCGCTGCTCGACCACCTCCTCGGCACCCTGATGGCATTGTATAGCTAGACGCGCTGGTAAGAGAAGAAAAAAAAAAAAACAACTGGAGACAGTGACGGCAGCACCGCGGTCTCCCACACCACCACCCCTCTTTTGCTTCTTCTTGTTGCGTGTGCGGCTGCTGCTGCGGTGGTGGCCGCGTGAGAGTGAGGGAGAGAGAGCCATGCACCGCCCGCACACACACTCGTCCTTCTCTCACTCTCTGTGTGTGTGTCCCCTTGCATGGACTCTCGCCCTCACCTCATCCCACGAAGCACACACATAATGTGCCCATTGTATATATGCATGCACACCCATGCAGGCCCGTTGGTGCTCTCTTTTGCACGACACGCACCGCTGCCGTCCTGCCTGGCTGCATGGGCGGAGCACCGTAACTGTTTCTGTTTTGTTTTTATTGCATTGAGTGGGCGACCTCTCTCTCTCTCTCTCCCTGTGTGTGTGTTTTGCTTTACGGGAGCAATGAGAGTGTGTGCGCTGGTCGTCCCACGCTTCGGCTTTTTGTTTTGCTTTTCATTGTTTTGTGGTTGAGTGCTCCCTTTCCGCGGGCTGCGTGTGTGTGTTTGTGTGTGATGATATGAGTAATTTGCGTGTGTGCTATCTGCCTCTCTCTGCCGTTGCTTTCTTCAGACTCTCTTGTGGCGCACAGCTGCTCTGCAATTATAGGCGCTGCCAAACACACAAGCACATGCACACACATGCCGTGTTTAAAACGCTGAGAATGCATGCACGCACAGGATTCTGGCTGCGACGTCCCTTGCGAGGAGGGAGGACGGGAGCCTGCGATTTATTTTTTGACACGTTGCAGGCGTGTAGTCGATTGGGTGGTGTGGTTTAGGGTGCCTGGGACAAGTGCGGATTGCTTCTCGTCCAGCAGCTGCACGTGCCAATGTGTATCTCCCATGCTGAGTATACTTTGGTCAGGGATTCTTTGCCTGCGTGGGTGATGTGCGCTGGCGGATGCGCTGGAAGGGTGAACAGTAAAATGACTGGCGACAGCGCGTGGGCTTTGCAAAGGACGGTTGTGCTCTTGCATCCCGCTGGGTTTTTTTTGTGTGTGTTGGTGTTTCTCGGTGTGTGCTGACGCATGGAAGAATCACCTGCCGTAGCTTCTTCTGCTGGTGGTGGCAGCTGCTGTGTGTTCCCGGTGCACTGTTATTCCTTCTCTTGTTCCGTGTGTCTGTGTGCGTGAGTTGTTGTTGTGGGGAGTGACTGCAGCGGGGATGGTGATGCCACTCACTGTGGATGGGTGACGGTGGTTACTGTTGTACTTCTTTTATTGACATGTTTTCCTTTATTTCTTTCTCACCCTCACAAAGAAGGGAAAAAAGCACTAATCGCTACTGTGAAATTCGAGGACACTGAAAGGACCAACAACACACACACCGTCCACACACACATATTTATATGCTCTCACCTGTTGCTGCAGTGAAGGCACCCCGCACACACAACCGTCGCCGCGTGACCGGATCCAGCGGAAGGAGGAGCGAAGGAAGAGAGAGTGAGCGGCAGAGGCCCAGCATGGCCCGGCGTGTGTTTACTTCTGCTGTGCTGCTCCTCCTCGTCGTAGTGATGATGTGCTGCGGCAGTGGAGGTGCACAAGCTGGTGTGGAGGATCAGTCGTCTGGTTCAAGGCTTCAATGGGAGGTCATCACTGACGATGGTGTAACTATGGACTTTTTGAGTGTTCCCGGCCTTCTAAAAGTGGGGAGTGGCGTATTTGTCGTTGCCGAGGCGCAGTGCAAGAAGAATGATGGAGAAGATACCTTTACTGGCATTGCATCCCAACTTCTCACGATGGAAACGGGTAACGAACCGAAGGAAGTTCTGAAGGATGCCAAAAAGAACACACAAGTTATGGAGGAAGTCACTTCTGCAAAGGAGAAGAAGAAAGTAGATGTGAGCCGACCAACAGCAGTTGTTGAGGGAAATGATATTTACATGCTTGTTGGAAAACACAGCCATGAAGCTGCCGGTAACTGTCAGGCTGAGACCGATAATTTCAAATCGGGAATGTTGCTGGTGAAGGGTGAGGTCGGTGAAGGCGGCGACAAAAAAATCCGTTGGAAGGAAACTGACGGTGTACCGTGCACTCTAGGCGAAAAACAAAACTCCTTGAAGTGGCTGATTGGAGGCGGTGGATCGGGTGTCAAGTTGAAGGACGGTACACTTGTGTTTCCGCTGGAAGGCACGAAGAAGGAGGAGGGAACTGGAATGGATGGAAAGAAAAAAACCGTTTCTTTGGTACTATACTTGCAGGATACTAATAGTTGGAAGCTGTCGAAGGGGATGTCTGCCGATGGCTGCAGTGATCCCTCCGTCGTGGAGTGGGAGAAGGAGGGCAAACTCATGATGATGACAGCGTGTGATGATGGCCGTCGCAGGGTGTACGAGTCCGGCGACAAGGGGAATACGTGGACGGAGGCACTCGGGACACTCTCGCGTGTGTGGGGCAACAAAAAGGACGGAGAAGGGAAGGCCGTTAGGAGCGGGTTCATCACAGCGACTTTTGGCACTGGAGATGAGCAGAAAAATGTGATGCTCGTTACTCTGCCGGTGTATGCCAAAGAAAAACAAAAAGAAAAAGAGAGGGGCGAACTCCATCTTTGGCTGACGGACAATACGCACATTGTTGATATTGGGCCGGTATCCGGGAAGGACGATGGCGTTGCCGCCAGCTCCCTGCTGTACAAAGGTGCTGAAAGTGAAACTAATGAGGAGTTGGTTGCACTGTACGAGAAGAAGAAGGACGGTGGGGGGAAACCATCAAACAGCCTTTGGTCTGTGCGTCTGACTGCGCAGCTGGAGCGGGTGAAGGAGGTGCTGGAGACCTGGAAGGAAGTGGACGAGCATGTCTCCAAGCTGTGTTCTCCTGAGAGTGCTAAGGAGGACACCTCACCTGACAATGCTTGCAGCGCTGCCATTCCGACGGATGGGCTGGTTGGCTTTTTATCCGGCAACTTCTCTGATGGCACATGGAGGGACGAGTACCTCGGGGTGAACGCAACAGTAAAGAAGGGAGCGGAAGAAGGAGCGTCAGCAGCGGTAGCAGAGAAAGCAGAGTCTTCAGATGGCGTGAAGTTCACAGGGCGTGGTGCGTGGGCGGAGTGGCCCGTTGGCAGTCAGGGGGAGAATCAGCTGTACCACTTTGCGAATTACAACTTCACTCTTGTGGCGACGGTGTCCATCGACGGTGAGCCGACGAAGGAGGGTCCTATTTCTTTGATGGGTGCGAAGATGAAGGATGCAGAGAATCCAGTACTTCTTGGACTGTTGTACAGAAACAACAACGAGAAGAAATGGATGCTACTGTGCGATGGCAGAGAGAACAAGGGGCTCAGCAGCCCTTGGCAACCAGGGAAAAAACACCAATTGGCCATTGTGCTACAGAGCGGCAGCCAGATCTCGGCGTACGTTGATGGTCAGCCTGTGGGTGGGGATGAACAATGTGCATTGGAAACTACGGAATCAAAGGTGATATCACACTTCTACATTGGAGGGGATGG